ATTCACTGGAAGAACTTTATTCATTACCTAAAAAGTGTTTTTACTTTTTCTTTTAAATAAAATACTATATATATATGAAGTGTACTATATTTTTTCCTATTCTTTTGAAAAAGTACTATAAATATCTCAGAAAATGTTGGCAACCCTACTTAAAACCCAAATAGTTTTTGTATGGTGCTTTTGATTTGGTTCCATATTAACCACAGAGTCTGTTAACTTTGCTCGCGCCATGCGGCTTATGGACCTGGTTTTAATATGCTTTCAAAACGAATATCTAATTAAAAATCGGCTGCATTTTACATGTCGGAAGACGGTTTAGAATATCTAGGTTTTTTAATTTTTCACAGTTTTTGACTAACATATCCCCAAAATCTGAACGATGTGTCCAGGTTGCATGTATATCTTAAATAGAGTCAAGATTTACGTAGGTTGGCATTGAAAAAAAAAAAGACTAAAATCGTTACTATTTATTTGCAAAAGCTATCTAAATTTAAGTAATTTTCTCGAGGTCCTTCCATATGGATTATTTTATCTTGAAACTGAAAGTTATATAAAATAAGAAAAATACCATTATTATAGCCGAAGGACCACCCTTCCAAACACGGCTAGTTTTGAAAATGTACGACAATTTTGAAAAAAAAAACTAAACAAGTAGTTTTTAAGTAAAAAATACAAATGACTTTAATGCTCATATACAAACATAGGAGTACCGTTAATATCTTCATGGTTAAATGATCGGAAATAAACCAATTTAGTATTGGACCACCTATCCGACAAAAAAAAATATATATTAATAACGGTTTAGACGGTCAAAAGTTATTCAGTACATACATTAAAAAATATATATACCGATGAATTGATAATATTTTCTCCTTTTTTGTAGTCGGTTACAAAAATTACGCCTTGCTAGTTATATGTATTAAAGTATGCATGCGTATTTGCTTGCTTGAGTAGGCGGCCCTTTAACAGGTAGGTGTTTGCCTTTGTTAAAGCCGCAATGGTGGTTTTGATGAAGGTTTTACAGAATATTGTTAAAAATAAATATTTGATTTTGCAGGACATCTTCTGTACGTAATATTTTAACATATAATTTTCATAAAAGTAAATCTATTAGCCAGATAAATTTTTCGGGATTTTGGTTTACCAATATATATTTTTTTTTATTGAGTTAAAAGGCATATCTTTGTCATAAAACACTTCTTATTATAAATTTTTTGGTACTTTATTTGTTCAAGGCATCCTGTTTTTATGATACACCCTACCGCAGGGGCTGGCTGAAAATTTGCAAAAAAGCCATATATGTGACCTTAGGCCTTAAATAAATATTTGTGCTGATGTGGGATCGATCGGTAGATACGTTTCACATTTCGTTTATAATGTTGCTTTCCAGATTCGCAGCAATTTTCAATTTTCGGTTCAAATAATTTAATAGTTTTTTTTTTCAATTAAGGAATTATGGTTTCTGGGTATCACCAGCAAAAATTCAAATTATATTTATAGTACATACATATATATATGCATGCATGTGTGTATATATGTAAGTAGACAAATATACAAAATACATACATATGTATGTATGTAAAGATATTTGCAAATTGTGGAAAAGTAGGACTCACTGTTATTCTTCCAAAAATAAATTGTATGCATTCGCAGCATCGTTTCCACTTTGCATTGCCGTATTTTCACAAGCAATACATGTGTTTAATTATAAAAATATATGCATGTTCAAAATATTTCAACAAATTATTGTCTTCACTTCACACCATGCACGCATTCCTCGCACGCAAAAAATTAAGTAAATTTGTAAATACTTATTTATTTTTTAATTGTATATGTATGTAGTATTAGGCTGGGTCGCCTTTAAAAAATGCATTAAAATTGTATTCGATTCGTCAAGTCCTATACTCATCACATTAGTCTGTAAGATTGAGAGCTTTTCCTGATTTAGTTTATTAAGAGAACACGCCAGGACTGTTCCGGTGAAACTTTGCAGCCAGCTGTATATATCCAAAAAGCGCACTGCGGAGCTTTGACATTTGACAACCGGTCTAAATTATTTGGTGTTTTTTCTGCTAAGTAATCATTTCAAGGATCTTATAATTCGACTTCAAATAGCGCAAGAAAGCAAACGTAGGCGGACAGTTTTAAGACAGATTATATGTAAGTATATAGCTGTGGCGCCAAAGTATATCCTCATGATTAAAATATTGCCAACCAGTTCCGACAAGTAAACAAAATTATTGTTTTTTTGATAATTTTGCTAAAAATAAATATTTCAATCGAACTTACTTTCAAATGATTCAAAAGAATATAAGCTCAAAAGTAAATTATGAAAACGTCGTTTAAAATTGTAATACAGTAATCCCCGGCTAAAAAAATATTGCATAAAAAATCCATGTAAATTTTCCCGCATTCTTGAACCCGATTTATTGGTTTCCCCGTATAATTGGTTAAAAGCATGTGGCATTGAAAAGAGATATACCTTTAATTTTCCCCGGTTAATTGTTCCTTACGTTTATTTTATTTTTTATAACAATTATCTCTAAAAATGTGAGGACAATTATACATACTGACGTATGAACAATAATAAATGTAAATTGTTTTTATTCCTTATATTTTTTCGTTCGTGGTCCATAAAGAGCATTCTTACGAAATAAACAAATGCCACCAAAAGTATTGATACCAAAAACAGTTGGTATCGAACGAAGAGTATCGATACATATATACTTGTATATACTCGTGGCGTTTCACTCCTAGTTGATGTATGTATGTGCAAAGGTCAATAGCATTTGCCGCCGGAAAGAAGAAAGCTTATTAAAAAAGATTACAAAAAAAGGTATACATATGTATCAATCAATTTTCACCAAAACAGAGTGGCAGTCATGTTCTAGTGCTGCTGAATTGGCTGTCTGATTGCCTTTGGACCATAAGGATAAAAAACTCCACAACGATAAGCAAGAAAGAAGTTGGGTGAGGTTGGTTCTAAAACTGCCGTATATAAAATTGTTATAAGGCACACCGTTTTACTAAGTTTTTCCAAAGCGTACTCTTGCGACCACTTATATTCTATTGCACATAAAAAATTGATCCTTGTCCTTGCTTAAGTATTATATTATTAGTTTACCTCATACGACCCTACTGTGACACTGTGTGCAGAGAAATAAAAGAAATATTAAATTTTGCAGTTTTACTCAAGCTGCAAACTTACTGATACCAGAAGATAGCGCAGCCGTATACGAAATCACATAAACACATGCAAAAATATATTCATTGTTTTTTTTTGTCTGACATAAATCCTCTCGCGTAGCATGACATACCGTGCTGGCAATAGCGCTAAGCTGCTCTGAATTTACCTGGCAAAGTTTTACACAGCCGAAAGTTTTGAAATTTCAGCACAGTGATTTGCCGTGTTTTTAAAATTTTTTTATTTGGATGAGTAAATATTTAAATTTATTTGAGATAACTTTGCAGAAAATGGTATCGAAAAAGTGAAGAAAAACCAAAATGAATGCAAATCTCGACGAATATTGTTGCTTTTTGGTAATTAAATATTAAAAGTTAAAAGAAATTGGTTACATTTTCAATTTAAGTTGAGAAAGAATTTCACATATATTTTTTCATTGCCTCTACTAATTTAATATGTTTTAAGAACTTAAAAGCCCTGAAAAAAAATAAAAAAAAATATTCAAACAAATCATATGTTACAAAATAATTTCTTTGGAAAGAAAAAAAAATTCCTTGGACACACACACGAAATAATGGCAAATTTTTCTTGACCGTTTTCTTGAGAGCTGCATACAGCGCATAATGATGAATTTTATGAATTTGCGAGTAGTAAGCAAGATGAGAAATTTGCTTTCAATTTCCCCTTCTGTGATATTTTTTAGGCTGATCAGCATCATACTTTAAATCAAATGAAAGGATTTGCTTTCTGGCTTGAATATTAATGACTGCTATTCTGCCTGTATGTATGTATGTATGTATATGTATGACCTTATATTGTTCTCACTTGAATTTTACAATCCATTTTTAAAGCATCACTTTTGAAATGTATTTACAATCAATATTTCTTGACAGCCGAAATTAATCACACGTGCCGATTTCTATAGAAATTTCCTATTTTCGTTAAAAATTGACCCGAATTTATCACTCATTCACAAAATTTTTCACCATGTAAACATTTTCGTTGAAAGAGTTTTAAAGACATGCCCGTACTGCAGACTTTCGCAAATTGCTTTCGCGAAAATGTTGTTCTTAAATAATGTACGCAAATGAATCAGTCTAACAAATTAGTTTACATTTTTACTAAAACAATAATCAAAAAATAAAACAAATTTTCAATTACATACTATTATTTATTACCACTTGTTTTATTTAAATAAACAACCTAAAACATTTTAAATCAACACGAAAATTTAACAAAAACTCGAAGCAATTTTTCATGCTCATTTTTATTGTTTTCCTTGCTGTTTTTGTATTTATTTTAAAGTGGCTAGTAAAAATTTAAATGCTGCAAATATAAATGTTTTATGTGTTTGTTGTGCGAAGCCAAGGGGAAAATAAATACACAAAAAAAAAGAAAATACACAATTGTGGGCTAAGTGAAAATGATTATTGCAGAAGCTAATAAAAATGCTATAAATGAAATGTGGTGAAAAATTCAGGCAATCCGTCTCGAACACTTGGCGTTCAACAAGTGAAGGTAACAACAACTAAGTAGGTAGGCGTTTTTTTCCATGGCAGCTACGATTTTCAGTATTCGTTAAGGTGCGAGGTGTGTGAATATTTTATAAGTTCATGCGTGTTAAAATAAAATTAAAAAAAATTTTGATAAAAATTAAATAAAAATATTATAATACGTTAAGTGTAAAATATTTTGTAATTTTACATTCACTTTTGCAATTTAATTTGGACGTCTTCAATTTCTTTCTTTTTTCACATTTTCGCTTTACAACCCTTTAATTTTTGCTCTAATATTTTTTAGTTGTTCTTCAACTCACCAATCCACCCACTCCGCAATAGATTGACAGCGATACCAATAGGCCAATGTGATTTAGTGCTGATTTCCATTTACTGGACTTCCAACAGCCTTTAAAACAGCCACGACTCTTCTCCTCCGGTTGGGCGCGGACATCTAAATGTTTTAGTTTTTCCAATAGTTCGGTATTGGCCTCATCAGCTGAATCGAAACCAGCCATTATTTTTTATTTTTTATTTATTTTTTTGTTGGCCGATCAATATTTTAAATTTAAACGCGCATTTTACACATAGTTATTATGTAAATTCATACATGGCAAACACTACACACACTCTTGCCTTCAAGTATTGTTGTGCCATTTGGGAATTATTTTAATTTGATTTCTTATTACCATCAAAAAAAAAACACATACTAGATTTGGTATACTCAGCTTCTGCGCATATACATATATGTATGTATGTATGCAAACACTTTGACTCAGTTACACTTTCTTACAAGATATCGCCTTAAGTCGTATGCGTTGTCCTTTTCGCCGGGAATTGACTGCTTGCGGCGACACATAATTCACTATAATTTTAAAACCGATATATTTTTAACGCATTTGTTTAAGTACAGCTAAATATATACATGTGTATGTGCATTAGGGCTACGATGAACTCTAAGCCAAAACGGCGAGCAAACTATGTACCAAGAATGACGTTTGACCCTCCCAATTTTCAAAATTTTCATTTTTGGTATATAGTTTATTCACCATTTTTGCTTATAATCGAACGTAGAATTCGAATATGCGATAACATTTTTTTCGAAATCAACTTACTCCGCCCTAATGTTCATAGTTACATTGTATCAAAAGTTTTCGATATATTTGGTTGACAGACTAAGTTAAGTCGTATAAGTAACATTTATAATAATCAAAACCCCTTTAAAAAACACTTTTTCTTGAAAAAACTGGTAAGTTTACAGTAAGTTGTTACATTTTGAAGTATCAAATTTCATTCGATTCGAGCCACTGCTTCATTTTTGCCCATCATTTGTACGGATACGGAGCACTGTGCGTCAGCGCCACTTAGCTAATCCATTTTTTACTCTTCTAATTTAGCCAAAATACTCGTATGTTCCGAGTATTAGCCAAATCTATGTAAAATATTATGCGTGCAGCGCCTCTAAGTGGAACCACTGTTTTCTTCTAATTTGAGAAAGAAAAGTTCTGAAAATTTGCCTACTCGGACCAAAAGTAGGATATTTTTTAAATATCTTGCCTCCTGAGCAATCTAGCGGGTCTACTTTCAGCAGCAATTTTCCCTCAATTTAAAGTTCTGCATACGAGATGAATCGAACTATGAACTAAAGTTTTCTAAATGTCTCGGCGGTAGCCTCGTAGATTGGCGCTTGTTTAAGAAATACAATACCTAAAGCTGATCGAAATCAGCAGAGCCCTCGTGAAGGGGTTATTTTTTCAAAAGAATAATTATATAGATAGCACACGACGTAGTCAGGCAGAAGAGGGACGTACGAAAACACGATACGCCGCAGAAGAGAAGGAACGGTAACGGCTCTAAGTGTAGTTACAAGGTGTTTAACCAGGTACATAACAGTTATAAGTTGAGAAGTATTTTTTATTTCGCCGATAAGAGTTATAACCCAACGTTTACTTTTCATGTTGCCTGATAACTGTTATGCAGGAGAAACGTGTTTTCCGTCGCCAATAAGAGTTATTTCCCAACGTTAATTTTTACGTTATTTCACTCCTTCTCTTTTATTTTCATCATCTTTATATTCTTCTCCATCTCCGTTTTCGTCAATATTCCTATCTTACAACGTTTATCAGACGACGTAAAAAATAAACGTGGAATAATAACTGTTATCAAGCAACCTTAAAAAAGAAACGTTGGGCAATAACTGTTATCAAACAACGTAAATAATAAAAGTTAGGAAATAACTGTGATCAAACAACGTAAAAATATACCTTGGGTCATAACTCTTATCGGCGAAATAAAAAATATTTTTCATCTAATAACTGTTATGAAATAACAGATTTTGGCCAACGTTTTCAATTTTTAATGTTTAACATTTTCACGTCCAAGATGTACCACTTTTTCAGAGAAAAAGCTTAGCATGATGTCTTCGATTTTACAAAATTTAATTTTTTTGTTTTGACAAAAAAATTTTGTTATTTGGTTGCATAAATGCTGTGACGGGTACACTTTTAAGAATTTGTTGCATACTTTTTATAACACAAATTTGGCATCTCCAAAACTTTAAAACTTTTTAATTTACTACATCACTGAAATAAGCACAGAAACTTAAAAGTTGTTAAATATGTCTGTACTTTAAAAAAGTGAACGGTCGATATTGTTTTAATAAATTTGAGCGTATATTTCACTATTTAATTTTTTATTTTTATATTTATTTTTATGAGTTCCACACATCATTTACGCGAACACTACATTAAAAACTCAATTCACAAAAGTTTCGCAATCCCAAATATTCAGACAGCACGCATTCTCACACCGCACGATTATCCAACGAATTTCCACTCTACCACTCGCTTCGATGTCACAGCCGCAACTGAAAAGAAAATTCGCTAGAAAATCTCAATTCGCTTGGTTGGGAAATCAAAAGTCCAATGCTGTCCCGCGACAGCACCACCAACAGCATTTTGCTACAAATACATACAAACATACACTTGTGAAAGTATAAACATACATACATATGTACAGCACACACATTCACCCATCCACTGATTTTTCCTTCGCAATATCTTCACACACAATGATGACGTTGCGTGGGAAAATCGTGCATTTCCTCCTTGTCCTACGCTTAGTGCTTTCATTTTCATTTTTGCTTTACAGTTTTTCCGCACGTAAACACAACTTGCTGTAAGTTGTAGCATCTGTGTTGCGTGCTGATGTTGCAAGCACGTGCTGCATTTGTGGCTCATATTGGAGCGAACACGTTGGAAGTGCGAACGTCTGCGGTATAATTCAGGGGTCGAGAAACTTTGTATGACAGTGGGCCACTTTCCAACAAAACAAAAGTTGTTCTTTTTTCTACTACCCGGATACCTACCTCACCATATTAAAGGCCAGTTTTCCACTGCCAGTTTAAACTTAGATAACGTAAGAGCTGGCTACGAAGGGGAAGGGGCCACTCAGTAAAGTAGAAACATTAAAATTTACAGGTTCGGTTATTACCGACATAGCGAGAGGCAGGCCTACAAATTTTCACCAAATTAAAAAAAAAATTTAAAAAGATTAACGGTATTCTTTAGCCAATTGAAACTTGCACTTTCTTATACTAAAACTAAATGGTATACAAACCTGCATACCAAACATTTTTATAAAAATTCTGAATAAATAGTTTGAAAATTTGACGAAAATTTGTCGAATTTTTATAATTTTTGTTCAAAGTAGGAAAAGCGGATTCATATGATGTTTGTTGTGTAGCTAGCCAGGCTTTTTTTAAAAAATATTAACATAAAATAAACCATGGAAATATAGCCACACCTCTTCGAAGTAAGGCGAGTCTATTCTAATGACCGCCAGTGTATGTACTTTACTTATTATGTAATTCAAAATGAATACATATACATATGTATGTATGTATGTATAAAATTATAGAGAATGTAGGTTTATTGAGACAGATCTATGGCTCAAAAAACTTGAACATCTCCTTTCAGAGTCACCTCCAAGCGGTAGCCTGTACGGCCGCCAGGCGATTCGAAAATTCCAGCAGAAAAAGGATCAAGGTGTCTGGTGTTCTGGAGCAATATAACCAGACGAGATTCCCAACATTTTATGAGGTGAGTTTGGTCACAGGCTGGGATAATACACAGTTATTGCAGAGTAGAATAGAGGTCCCACTTTCCCCACTGTGTTTCAATAAATATAGTAAAGAGAAGCAAAGAGACTGCCGAGTAATGACGGTGAAGTGCTGAGCAACATTGAAAACGACGAGCTACGGGCCTCAGCTTCCAATTTGTTACCTTCACTATCTAAACCAGTCATGCCCAGCGCAGGGCACTTGCATATGGAATTCTGCCAGCGCAGGTCACTTGCTTATGGAGTTCTGCCGACGTTGGGCATGACTGATCTAAACGCTTTGTCAATGGCGACATGATTTTTTTGAACGCGGCAGCCACACCACAGTCGTCGCGTAGCCCTGCCATTGCCAAAATATTTATCTACATAAGAATACGTGGGAAAATAATTTGACAGCTTTAGTTCGTAGTTCGTCGTTTTCATTGTGTTCGGTACAAGCTCTAGACTATTGATGACTTTCGTCGGCTATGGTGCTGGTATTTGCATTGGTGACTTTCGCCGGTCGTGCGGGGCGTCGGTAGATTTACTAGGTCTTTTTGATGAATCAGACAGCATAAACAACAAAACCTATGCGTGTTGCTTGTTGTTGAGATAACAATTAGCCACATTAGACGCCTGGGTTTCCTGAAAAAGAATAATAAAAATTGTGAGCATCACCTCGAGATTCGTGGCTAATTTCTCCTCATGGCGCTTATCCGCATTAACTGGAATAAGATGTTGACAAGAATAAATAGCCCAAGATATTATTGCTGAATAAAATCAAGGTTGTTAATTATACATACATACCTCAGCGTTATCATAATTGAATTTCGCACTGTTGTGAAATGAATGCATACTTCATATACATATAGATATGAATCTACACCCCACGTCATAATTATAAGCGCATATATGTATGTATTTACAAGATTTAACTATTTATATTTGTCTTATCTAATTTTAGTTTCTTTTATAAAAATATGGTTAGTTCTTTAACAAAAACTGTATAAATCCAAGCTTATAAATGTAACAGGGTACTCGTGGTATGGCATTGAATTTGAATTCAATACACATCATATCAGTGCCTAATGCTTACGGTACCTTTCACAACATTGTAAATATGTACTTACACCCACTATGGCTATCCGGATAATTTGATTAAGGAACCGAATTTGCGGATATCCAAATAGTGTATAAAAATCCGGATGTTTTAGGTTAAAATTGTACAATTAAATAACAATTGGTCTAGTACACGACGCAATGAAGTGTTCTATTTTACGTATCCGTATAAATGCTGTTTAGAATATCCGGATAACCAAAAGAACGGATTTTAACATGATATCCATACTATTCGTATTTTATCCATATGTAAAAATATATATGAACGGATACCTTGATTTTCGACTATGCAGATCAGGGTTGGAAAATGAAAATTTCTAATTATTTTACACATTTCACAGCTCGTCAAATCTGTTGGAAAATAAGAAAATAGGAAGGTAGTACATCACTGCCCGCTCACTTGGGCCCTTTTGACGAGGATTTTGAAGCATATGGCCATGCCCACACCTGCTATACATTAGGTGTATACTATAAGCCAGCCCCTTACATTCGTTTGGTGCCCCCGTGTAAAGTAAAAAATGCTGATTCATGGCTTAGTTTATAACTTATGAGAATTAAGCGATATAAATACATATTTTAGTCACATTCGGGAATGTGATAGCATTGTGAGCACTAGCCTTGAAACAGAGCAGATTTGACTAGTGTTGAACAAGAAAAAGTCCAACTTCCTGCTAGCAATAAACAAAGAATTTTTGCTTAATGTGAGAGCGTGGCACAGTTGAGGTTTTTATCGAGAAGTTTTAAAGGACTTTGTTCACTTAGCGACAAGTGTAAACATCACTACTACTGTCACTTTGAGATCCTCCGAACCTTACTCTTTCTAGCAGGCCTTTACTCAGGCTTATTGGAAAGCAGAGGTAATCGGGGTCTTCAAAGAAAACAAAAATCAATCTTTACAATTCTCTTATCGTTCTTCTCCGTTCATATGACACAGTAACGTGGTTGATGTCTGATAAAGAAGAGATGTATTTCGGCGTTGTCGAGAGAAAGCTGCGCAAGCTCTGGTTGATTTGGTTAACTGGCCGAACTTCCTGGAAAATTCATTTGGGCCCATTGAAAATGTACGAAAAACTGTATATTTGTACAGAATGTACATAAAAGCTTTAAAAATACAACTGCACCTGCTTATATTATTGATTACGATAGTCACAGCCATACTAGATAAATATTTTTATACATATACTAAAGTAAACTTTTATTTTTATTACTATACATTCTAAAAGAATGGTGCTTTCTATTGAAATTTAAACTCAGCGTGGACACATTGCATGTTTTCCTCCATCGAGTGGTATAGTTGCGCCTGTCACAAAGCTAGCAGTATCACCTGCAAGGAAAATTATAGCATCAGCCACTTCTTTCGTAGTGCCTATGCGACCCAGTGCATGTGTCTGTTTGCCACGTTCCAAATATTGAGCATATTGCTCATCCGACATTCCCAAACGTTTATGAAACTGTGTCACTATGGTACCCGGACTCACAACGTTGACACGCACGCTATGTGGTGCCAAATCCAGAGCGATGCATCTGCTAAACTGTTCAAGCGCTGCCTTCGAAGTGCAATAGACGGATGCATTTGCAAATGCACGCAAACCGGCTATACTGGATACATTCACAATGTTACCCTGCGTTTTAATCAGATGCGGGGCGGCGAATTTAGTCAAAACGAGAACCGAACGTAAGTTCGTATTTAAAATCGAATCAAGTTGATCGACACCAATGCTCAAAATGTCACCCAATCCACCAATGCCAGCATTATTCACCAACACATCCAGTTGTCCGAATTTCGCAATCGTTTCGTTTATAATACGCTCCGCATCTACCGTTACATCGGCAGCGATAGTTAATATTTCCACTTTGTGATTGATTGCTTTACAGGCTGCTTCAGTGGTCTTAAGATTGGCTGCATTTCGTCCGACGATCGCTAACTGAGCGCCTTGCTTGGCGAAGGCTTCTGCTGTCGTCACGCCGATACCCGAGCTTGCGCCTGTCACAATTACAACTTTCCCAGCTAGAGACATTTCGAACTAACTACTATTCTATTTGACCGTGAATAATGAAATAAAATACTGTTAGCGAATGAGCTTGCTTATATATTTACGTGTGTACATTAGGGTGCATCACTCTCCACAAAAAAAAAATAAATAAATAAAAATAGATACTGTCTTTCAGTCCGAAATATAAAATTCATTATATTTTAAGAATTCTGCCAAAATATTTCAGAAAAAAATTAACATTTACGTGAGCTGGACCTATTGAAAATACCTCCAAATAGCGATTTTTTTATAAATAAAATTAGTTAAAAAAAAAAAAATTATAATAAAAAATCACCTCAGTTGATAGAAGAGTTTAAGCTTATAAAAGCCTGCATAAACATGTTTAATCATCGGACAGACATCGGACTAGCTCAGGTAATTTGTAATATTTTTCCGAAATATTTTTGCGGAAGTGCTAAAATATAATAGATTTTATAATTCCTGTTGAAAAACCGCAACTTTTTTTTTGTGATGCACTTTAACGTTTAGTTATCAGTAAATCAAAGTGAGTACGGATTGCCTATCGTTTTACGCCGGCTCCGAATGGAGAAGCGTTGCCATAGCAGAAATACATTCGGAAGTTTATCATTGCCTGCCGAGGGCGTCCGACCTCAATCAAACAAAGAATTAAACCTTGAACGCACCGTGTGGCAGTGCGCACCACTCAGTTGTAGCGGCGCACAGTGGGATTTCGGCGGAAAAAATTTTATTGGCGATGGTCAGATTTTGTCGCTAATACTGCACCCTTTGGGTGATGCTGTGTTACTAGATTTGGCAGCAAATATAATTTAAAATTTGAAAACTAAGCCAGTAAAGTCATGGGATTGAAAACCTAATTAAAACAATTTAAACATACATATGTATGACAGAACTCTGAAACGAACATCACTCAAACAGAACATTTAGTGCTTATCATATGAGACATATGTCCAATTATTATTAAATTAAATCAGTATTTTTTCCGCGCATTGCTTAGCTCAATGAACTATACCTTTTTTTTTTCTTTTCTGACCTTTTCGTTGTGATATAGCATTAATTGCTTCTATACTAGCTACAAATAATTTGTAGTCTATTCCGGCTGCTAATTTTTTGTATATTTACTTACACTATTGTTGTAAATATATGGACGAAATTTCTAAATAAATCGACCACAGCCATTTTTCGTTTTTTTTTCTTGATTTATGTCCTCAGAGGTTACATACAAAAAGTTTTAAGCGTGCCTACCCCTTCTAATTTTTTTCTAAAAAAATTTATTTGGCTGAATCACTGTGCGGCGGCCGTATTTGCCATTAATAATGGCGAAATTACAAGTTCAAGCGATTAATTTGTAGATGGTGGGGGATGTACATACATATGTACATGCAATACTTCAGAACTGCAACTGAGCCACCTATATCAATGTTTGCTTAGAGCGGGCTCGATGAATTGTAGGTTTGTCTACCGGTTTTTGGTCTGAAAGTGTTTTAATGATATCAGCGCAACGTATGTCAACCTTAAAGCCACGCGGAAGTTATGTATTCTTTGCGAATAGCTTTTAAGAGTGTATTTGTACGAATTATAAAAACTTTTGATAAATCGCTATCGGGGAAGTTAAAATTTTGCAAGCTAGGAGAATTTGATAGCGCAAAAGTGGTGGTTAAATTGGAAGCGAAATCAGCATTGCCAGGTGGACATTTTTTAACGTCATTGTCAGACTTTCCGGTTCTTGACTATATACATTTTGATTTGAAACCCTTTTACCGAACATTTTTTTTATTATATTTTTATTATCAACACTCGATTTTTTTTTAAATTTGCGCATATTAATATTAACCAGTTTCCTCTCTTAATGAGAGGTCTTACAGACCGTGTTAATTAAACTAAACACTTCACAATTTGTTTTTTGAGTTTTAAACTTTTATTGTTCACAATTTCACAGTTTACACATAAAATGTTTAAAATGTAATGTTTGCGAATTTTATCGTTTTTTAAATTAAATTTGAAGATATTGGTAACAGAGCAGCATTTAAAACAATTACCAGGAATTTAGCTGCAAATATTTGTACTACCAAAAGACCCTTCTAGGTGTTTTGGCGTCCGAAGAATCTGAATTTGTAATTTATTTTTGCATAAATCGGCCGCTAGTACGCTATGATGCAAAAAACATGGAAGGGTCATGAAGGAAAAGTGCAAACAATGATTCTCAACATTGTTTCTAAACAAAGTTTCTTCATGTTCGTTTGTACCAATACGCAAAAAAGCGCCCAGCCGCCGTTTTTTGTGAAAATTAACTGCAGATTCGGATTCTTCGTGATTCACCAAATAAAAGGATATTCAGGGCTGGGTATAAGGGGCTATTTTAAATACTTTGCCCTTTCTAGTTCATAAATCCCTAATTGTTTACTTGCACGGTCGCTCTTTGTCTACCTATCGTATGCTGGAACCATTGGGTTGGTTGACTTTTAAAAGTTTTCAAATTGATGATTTTTTTTTTTTTGATTTGTGCTGGCCCGCACTTTGCGGGTCCCAGTGGTCAAGAAAATTTCCGAGATGGGGGAAAAGATGGAAAAATGTTTGCTTTGTGGATATAACTAGTGAATTGAATAAATAGTTGCCATGAGGCTTTTGTGTGAGAAAATCTGTAAGGTCAACGTTATAGAAGCGCAGTTTTTGGATTTTCCATGACGACATATCACCTTCTCATCGAACCGCTATTCTTCTTACATGATGTTGTGTGACTTTTTTTATATTTCTCAAACTTAAATTGCTATCACGGGGTACATCTTTTGAGTCGATTGAGACCATCAAACGAAGATCATGGTATATCCCTTTAAACATTCATATATACATATGTATTTTAAGAAAAAAAAAAAAATACACAATTTTTGAATCCATTTCTATCAGTTTTAGTACGAAATTAGGCTGTGTGCCAAATTTCAGCCAGATCGAAGGCCCTCACATGAAAAATCACCAATATCACCGATGATTTGGAGCCTACAAAGCTTCTCAAAGTTAATGGATGTGCTTTTGATCGCTCTACGAAAAGTGATAAAATTCATACAAACAAACAATGATATTGTGAAATTATATATCAGTACATTTGATAATTAATTAAAGTGCTCAAAAAAAAAAACAAGTGATGTATACAAATAAAAAGAAACCACTCTCAAATACTTATGTATAATAAGTATTCAAATAAATAAACGCAACCAAATAAACATAAACAAAGTTCTAACAATATTATTTGTTGCGATAAGCAAATAAAAAGTAGTGGTGAGTGAGAGAATGTTGGAGTGTAAAAGATGCCGGAAAGGGATCAGAGAAGAGTCGAGGGCACGTTGTGATAGTGTGTGTGGGAGAGGGTGCCACAAAACAATTGCAAGTTGATAGAATATTTTCAAGCCGAAAGGCTAAAAGGGCATTAAAGAAAACCCGCTAAAAACGGCCAAATAAAGTTTAAAGTTATAAAGTTTTATGTATTTCTTCCAACTACCGTTATGTGGGAGTTAGGCGTAGTTACTGTCCGATTTTGGTCAATTTTCAAAACCATCCGTTATTAACCCAAAGGACATGCACGTGGCAAGTTTCGTTAGGATACCTCAATTTTTACTGGAGTTGTCGTGTGCACAGATGGACGGTTTATACATACAAAAACTAGCCGATCTTGTACATGAATATGTACACATACGCAACTGGAGAAAGCAGGTGGCAACCCTATTCAAAAACACAGAGCCTTATGCACAACTAATGCCCAAGGCGTTTCATTTGATATCTTATGTTTTTAATGCAATAAACGGTGCGGATCCTATAATTATTTAAACAGGCTGAAACCCTGTTCAAAAAATAACATCTTATTGAACATCTGGAAGCCAAGCCCTTTCATTTGACGCCTCATTTATTTATATATTTTTTAGACAGGTGGCAACCCTACAGAAATGCTGAATAATAAATAGTCACTCTGCTATCGATATAAATATATTAGAGAAAATCTCGTCAGTGTTTTTCGAGATTAGCGCGTTCAAAGAATCCTCACTTTCCTTTATACTATGTATAGATATAGATGGAAATATGGGCATTTCCCAAAAAAGGTAAACCGAAAATGCAAGTAAATGAATTTAAACGGCTTTATAACTTTATATTTCGCATTCTGATGGCGAAAAGAGGTTTTGAAAACGGGAAGCTGTGGAGAGAAGAACTGAAAAAATTAAATAAAAAATTAAATGTCGCGTCCGATATGTCGCGTCCGTTACCAGATTTTAATTCAAAATTAAATCAACAACAAATTGCTTCTGATTAAAAATGAATTGGTTGTAACGGTCCATAATTAGACTTTATTTAAAGAATGTTTAATAAAGGAAAACCTTACACGATTCGCTGAGTTTTGCTTAGTTTTAACATGTACTCTGAAATCACTTCTGTTTTTGTCGCGTCCGTTATGCCCTATTTTTCATCGATTTTCTCGACTTCAGTGTTCCAAGCGCACCTAGTTTTTTGTCAACCAAAGGACGGTATAAAAGCTACACAACAGCACATTTTTTTACAAGTGACTTCAGTTTTCGTATGATTTATTTAACTCTAAAGTCGTACGAATGTCGCGTCCGTAACCCAGGAAATACCCATATGTCTATTATCTATCTCGATTCCATTTGTTGTTACAAACGACCGTTATGTGAACAAAGTTATAATACCCTTATGAAAATTCACTCTGCAATAAAGCAATATCTCCTAAAGGCAATAAGTGTGCTCATCGAATGTTTTATTTTGAACATTCTTGCATTCTCTTTATACATACCTCTTGTCCTATCTATGGAGGTGTTAAATGCGCTTTTCCGCACTTCATAATTCGTGGGTGCATAAAGTGTGCAAGTTGTCAAAGAAAAATGGAACATTTGTCAACGTTAAATTAAGTTGTTTTTGTGAAACGAATCACAAAGAAAATTAATAAGTGACGTTGGAATTTAAAGAAGCGACAGAAGTCTTGAAAAAAGTTTCTGTAAAAAAATTAAAATGTGAGAACAAAAATTTCGCTTTCTTAACACAAACATATTTAAGTTAATACACGTAAAGTATGAGGAGTACCACGACAAAATAAAACATACCTATGGAATGTGTTCGTTCGTTCACCTCAGTATTTTCTGCTTATTGCAAATTGTACTTTGTACATTTATTTAAGTATTTATGCAAAAATATCTTTGTATGTATATTATGGTGCTTTTTTTCGGCGACTTATTTTTTTTTTTTTGACTCCCACCTCGAAATTTTGTGGAAAATACTTAAAAATAATAGCAAGCGCTACAAAACAGTTTAAAATGAGCACTTAAAATTAATATTAAGGCCTAAAATTTTCAGAGAACTTGTTTTTAGATATTTGCCTGGGAGCAAAAAAAAAATAGTCACCGAAAAATAAGCACCCTAATGTATATATAGACATGCAAAAGTTACTCTGCGCACACATAGGTTTGCGCATATACCAGTATATTATTATAAAATTTTAGTAAGAAAACGTATGGAATACAAAATTTTTCGTCACTATTTGAATTTTTGTTTGGTTCTACAGTCCGTTTGTATTACGTACATACATATGTACGGATGCCGTCGCCGTCTGTGTCATCCGTATAAAATTGTCCCAAACGCCACCATATGTTGGCGGCATTCCAGACAGCCTAAACTTTGTTATCATCTGTTTGTTTGACATAAATATTTACAGAACTACCCTGCAGTGAAAAATTATCAATTGTTAAATATAACCAACTTGTAGTTAGTTTTTGGCGGGATTTTGTTAAATATCTCCTAAAGGCTCACTTTTAATTAGCTATGACAAAACCAACTTTAAGTAAGTTGTAAAGTCGTGCAGAAGTCATGCAGATGCAATCGGGAGGATCTTTTCTTTACAAGTTTCTATTTAAAAATTCTCATACAAAAACTGCTTTGAGTGCATTTTTTCTGCACTTCGCAACCTATTTTTCGAATTCAGGACAAATAAAATGAAGTTTGAAATTTTATATTATCATTTTGATGTTATGTCTGACGGAATTCGGATATTGGATCAAAATTCTGCAGAATATGTAAACAAATATACAAATATGCAATGTTGAATATAAATTAATTAAATAAAAATGTTAAAAAATATAAAAAATTACAAAATGTTTTTTATTTATATTTTATGTCCAAAAATAGTTAGTTACAAGTTGGTTGACATGTAATGCAGAGGTATCCAGGTCTGACTTTTTTGCAGCCATCGCCCCACAAAAGAAGTTAGCTTTTTTCGAACAAAATGTACCGTTAATAGTTAGCACTAGTGTTCGCGTAAACAGACTAAAGTTAGGTATAAGCTAACGTCACTCCCTACCGGGTACATACATAGGCACATATGTTTGTATATACTAATAGCACTTGTTCGTTTGTATGATTGCTTAGCTGTCTGCCTTATGTCAATCAGTGATGGGTTTATTTGTTTTTGCTGGGGCTGTAAATAGCTTAAAGCTGGCACCCCACAAAAACAAATTAAAGCAGTTGTCACATTTTAGACTAGGCATTCGAATTAAAATTTTTTACCGAAGTAATTATTTAGGTAATGTGATATACAGCGTAAATTATTAAATTTTGAAATGAAAGATGTACAATGTGCCAACATGCTGGTAAATCGTAAGTGTATAGCAGATATCAAATGGGACCCATGACACTGCCTTGAGGTACAGTACTGAACTTTCGTAGAGTTCAGACTGCTTTTCGCCTTGCTGAAAACGATGAAAAATCCGGTTTTGACATAGAACTCGATAAAGATGTAATAGTTTTTAGGGAGGATATTCTTTCTGATCTGAGTAGCTTTTCAAAAGATCTAGAGTTCATGAAAAGGAAAAAGAAAGTTGTGCAAAATTACGTCGAAAAAAAAAATGAAAAAAAGTCGAAAAGTAAAATTTTTGAAAAAAATAAGACTGTTCTGAGTAGCATTTCAAAATTTCTAGAGTTCCTGAAAAGGAAAAAGAAAGTTTTGCAAAATAAAGTCGAAAAAAAACAATTAAAAAAAGTCGAAAAAAAAAATAAAACTCTTCTGAGTAGCTTTTCAAAAGTTCTAGATTTCTTGAAAAGGAAAACAACATTTTTTTTAAGTCGAAAAAGATAAAATTTTGAAAAAAAAAAATAAAAATTAAATAAATGTAAAATAAAATTAAATTAAAATAATATGACAATTAAATAAAAAATAAATTAAATTCTAGAACTATTGAAGAGCTACTCAGAACGGTTTTAATTTTTATTTTTTTAATTTGACTTTTTCGACTTTAAAAATAAAATTTTGTTTGCGTAATTTTGTAGAACTTTCTTCTCCCTTTTCAGGAACTGTAGATTTTTTTAACAGTTTTATTTTTTATTTACTTTTTTTCAAAAATTTAACTATTTCGACTTTTTCCAGCCCATATGTCTTTGCGAGTTTCCATTTTGACAGCGGTTAACCGTCGACCGCTTTACCTTCGTCCACTCCAACTCTGGGTAGACCTTTATTATCTTACAATTGCAAAAAAAAAAATTTAATTCAAGCTTTTTTCATAGTAAACGTCGCATTTGCGCCACAGTGCGCCGGGGCTTTGAAATTTTCCATATAGTTTTTTTTTGTTGCTATAAAGGCTAAAACTTGAAATAAAATTCATAAAAAAATGGAAAAGCAATGGGCCTTATGAATAAGAGCTAAACAAATGCTTTTTCTTAAAATTTTGGACCTTTTACTAAAATTTATTTGAACAAATGGAAATTTTAAGTAAAAGCAAATGCTTAGTTTTTATTTATACGACCCAATATAACTATTTATGACTATTTTGTATTAATATTTCCGTATGAGATAGCGTAATTAGTTATATATGTAGAAGAGCGTAAAATTTCAGCTAGTACTTTGTAATTAATACGCTTTCAAAAAAGCCAAGTCTTGAGTGAAAATTTCGAGGATCACTTGAAATGGATTTACGCCCCTTTAAAAAATTCGAAGCGAGACTGAAGTGTTGGGTGTTCGACAGAAAGGTATCTACGGTGACTCAAACAACTGACCAGGCGTGATTTTTCTTTGATTATTTACTTATTTTTAAGTTGATTTTTTTTGGTATTTTTTTTATAAAATTACTGTCCAACTTTCAACCAAAACCACATATGTAAATCAAAGTTTGAAGCTTTTTAAAAAAAAAATTATCAAGTTTGCATAAAACTTTCAAAGTTTTTAGTCTGAACTTTTTGAAGTTTGAGTAGCAGTTTTATAGCCCATAGAATTTTCGTGAATAAAGTGCAAGCTTCAAGCGACTAAAAAATCGTCTTGATATTTAATAATTTTTTCTTTTGCCGACGGATATTTGCACTTTTTTCCACATAAGCATGAGTATCTTATCGCAACCAAATATCAAAAAAGCCACACCAGTTTTATAAATTGCACATGTTATTGAAAAAAAAAAAATGCAAAAGCAGTCTAAAAAAAACATTTTTTAAAATCAACTTGATTTTTTAGTTTATCGAATCTTGTAAATCATTGGACTGAAGTTGTATGTGCTATAAAATTGCACACTCAAAGATGTTCTAAAGATTCGGATTAAAAAAGTATGAGATTTTGATAAAAATTGTTTTCCATATTTTGCATAAAGTTTGAAACTTTTTTCATATATAAGTTTTGGAAAAGCTTGAACAATATTTTTTTAGAAAAATAACAAAAAAAAATTTAATTTGATTTGATTTAATTTGGGTCATAGGTCTTTGACACCATTTGGTGACAAAAATCTGTTGAGACTATTCATATCAGTCAATAATGAAATGAGTAGTCAAACTTTATATATATATTGTATTATCTTTTTTTAGTATATTTCTTATCTAGCGATTATTCTTTATTGGTTAAATATTGTATTATTAGTACGTATGCACGCCTAACTAGTTTTTTTCAGTGTTATCTTATCAACTAGAAATAATCAATTCAAACAAATTCCTATCTGGATAGGTATCTATAATACCTATCTATAATATACTGATGAATTTTGGTAACTATAAAAGGTCGAGTTCATTCGATAAAATTTTATTATTCGATTATTCGCTGGCAAGTAGAATAGTTCAAAATGTCTCTAACTGGTAAAGTTGTAATTGTGACAGGAGCTAGCTCAGGTATTGGCGCTACCACAGCAGAGGCCTTTGCTAAACATGGCGCTAAAGTGGCGATCGTCGGACGGAATGAAGCCAATTTGAAGGAAACTGAAGCAGCCTGTAAAGCAGCCAACAAAAAAGTCGAGTTATTGCTTATCATTGCTGATGTAACGGTAGATGCAGAGCGTATTATAAACGAAACTATTAAGAAGTTCGGCAAGCTGGATGTGCTAGTGAATAATGCTGGCATCGGCCTAAATGGCAGCATATTGGATATTGGTGTCGATCAATTCGACACGATTTTAAATACCAATATGCGTTCGGTTTTCCTTTTGACCAAATTCGCTGCACCACATCTAATCAAAACGCAAGGTAATATTGTTAATGTCTCGAGTGTCGCCGGTCTGCGTGCATTTCCTGGTGCATCTACATACTGTACTTCAAAGGCGGCGCTTGATCAATTTACCAGATGCATTGCTCTCGACTTGGCGCCACATAATGTGCGCGTGAATGCGGTCAACCCTGCTGTGATAGTTACCGATTTCCAAAAACGTATGGGAATGTCAAAGGAAGAATATGCAAAATATTTGGAACATTGTAAATCGACGCACGCTTTGGGACGCGTGGGTTCTACAAAAGAGGTGGCTGATGCTATTATTTTCTTGGCTAGTGATACTGCCAGCTTCATAACGGGGACAACTTTGCCTGTCGATGGAGGAAAAACTATGTTGTGTCCACGTTGAATGTTCTTTTAAATAAATTAAATAAAAACTATATGCTAAAGTTATTAAAAATAATCAAGGAATTCTTTCAAACTGTGCCGGAATTCATCAAATGCTTATTTACATACATATGTATATATATACACATAAGGGAGGTCCTTAAATGTAGGGAGCAAATTTTTGCATCAGTTTTCCCAAGCCTCAACCCCTGTGTCGATGCTAATATAGTCGAAGATATCCCTAGATTACCCTATGATGACGTCTTAATCGACTCCAATCGGGACCAAAACTTATATCTTATATCTTCGATTATGGTTTTATCAATTTTGGGTATTAGATGAAAAAAAATTAATTTTATCTTTTGAGTCTCCATAGAGGAATCCCCACCGATTGTGTACATAAATGATCAGAATAAAAAAGAAATCGACTGTTTGTCCGTTCGTCCGTCCGTTTGTCCTTCTCTGCACACGATAGCTCGAGTATAAATTGAGTTATCTTAACGAAACTTGGTATGTGTACTTCTTTTCAGCGTCGGACAGATGGTATTGAAAATGGGCAAAATCGGACAATAACCACGCCTACCTCCCATATAACGGTAGTTTTCAGAAATACAAAAACTGCGATATTTATGTAACTACTGAAGATTGTCCTTTCAAAATTTATATTTACTATAATTTTTAGACGAAAAATAAGAATATTATAATTTTTTGAAAATAGGCGTAGCCACGCCCATGATTATGATTACACCGCTCCACCAATTTCTACCAAACTTAGCACGGCGTTGGCCTTGGTACAAAAAACAATTGTCGAACATATTTTGTATGGAAAAAAGTAAAAAAAAAAAATTTCCAACAATCAACGATATTTTGTAGCTACTTTAAACTTCCACTTTATTATTTTAAATGGCAATAGGCTATAAAACAACATGAATAAAAGTAAAAACAGAATCAAATCGCTCAGAGAAATTCGTCGGAAGAAAGTTCGCTGCCAAAATTAAAACACACTGCAGTATATGAGATTTCCCACAATCAAAGTGACGACGAAGTTTGTCAGACGAAACTCGGCAAGAATAGATTTATTTTTAATTTTGCCGCTGCCGCCGATCATAAAATCAGCTCTCAGTGGAAAAGTAGCTTTGTTTCCTCGTTTTTCTAGCAGATAATCATCAGCAATAATCAGAATGGCAAAATTTGGTGATTCATCTTTTCGGTTTTGTATTTTTTATATTTTTTGTTTGTCATTCAATTGATACGAATTTCGTATCTGTTCTGTTTTACTGGGCGAAATGTTGCGGCGAACATCACCCAGCGGCATCGCTCCGGATCGACTAAATTCGCACAGCGATTTGGTTCTGTTTATACTTTAAAAAGTTTGAAAGCTTGATGCAATTTTTTTGAAATTCTTTCGAATTCCATAATTTCTTTTAAAAAGTTTGAAATTCGGACTTAAACTACATTCGCATTACAGCATAAATTACTTTGTTTCGATCAAATTACTTCACATAAAACAAGTTCATATTTTCTTTCATAATTTCTATAGATATGTGATTAGAACGTTTACGTACGAGTGTGTAGTTTGTACTTGATTAAAACCAAGTTGCATACCTTTAGGTATTTTTTACAATCTTTTCTTCTTCATCTGGTTCTTGATTAATGATCGCTTATCTCATTTCTATTTAATTTATTTACAGATTTTACAATACGAAATCACTTGATTTCAGCATGATTTGCTTATAAATTACAAATGAGACATAAATTATGATAATGTGAGCATGCTTTAACACGATTTTTGTTAGATTACGAGCTTTAATTTCATGGAAAGATAATAAACCCCAAAGAAATAAAAGAAAAATAGCCAAAACACGTTAAAATATTGTACCAACGAAGAGACGAAAAGAAAATTTTAAGCTTTGTATTTTATAAAATCCAGTATATTTAATAAATAAAGTCTTGTTCATTTCATTCATTTATTACAAACTACACTTAACGTGGACACATTACAGTTCTGCCTCCGTCGACAGGCAAATTTGAGCCCGTTATAAAGCTGGCAGTATCATTAGCTAAGAAAATGATAGCATCAGCCACTTCTTGAGTGGTACCCACGCGTCCCAGAGCGTGCGTCGTTTTATTGTGCTCCAAAAATTTGACATAATCTTCCTTCGAAATTCCCATACGTATGGCAAAATCTGTAACTATCACCGCAGGGTTGACTGAATTCACGCGCACATTATGTGGCGCCAAGTCGAGGGCAATGCATTTGGTAAACTGATCCAGCGCCGCCTTTGCAGTGCAATAGACGGACAAGTTGGCGAATGCGCGCAGACCGGCGACACTCGAGACATTCACAATGTTGCCCTGCGTTTTGATCAGATGTGGTGCGGCGAATTTAGTCAAAAGGAAAACCGAACGCAAATTGGTATTTAAAATCGTGTCGAATTGATCGACATCAATTTCCAAAATACTGCCACGTGCACCTATGCCAGCATTGTTCACCAGCACATCCAGTTTTCCGAATTTCGCAACTGTTTCTTTTACAATACGCTCTGCATCTACCGTCACGTCAGCGATGATAAGCAATAACTCAGCTTTGTTGTTGGCTGCTTTACAAGCCGCTTCGGCTGCCTTCAAATTGGCTTCATTTCGTCCGACGAGCACTACCTTAGCGCCATGCTTAGCGAAGGCTTCTGCTGTGGTGGCGCCAATACCCGAGCTTGCGCCTGTCACAATTACAACTTTACCGGCTAGAGGCATTTTACACTTTTCTATTTGATAGCAAAGATTGAAATAAAACAGTTTTAGCGAATGAGCTCGGCTTTTTATACAAAATTCGATCAATATGTATGTATGTAAAGGTGCTTGCTTGAGTCGATAATTTCTAATTCAATCGCTGTGTGATAAGATAAGCACTGATTGGGACTACGTAGTTTTACATGTGTGCGAACAAATAATTTGTAGATAAGAAAAAATGAAGTTTGAATACTTGTTACCACGTAACAACACCTGTTTCAATACAAGCTGGAAAATGTATGTATAATTAAAGATTTACAAAAAAAGCGTTGTAAAATAGTTACGTTGTTGCTACTGTAGTGTGAGCTGTTAATACTATTCGATACTCCCCACTGCTTTTTCGTTGCTGCAGCTCTAGTCATGTGCACCTATACGGCTGTGCCCGGTTATAATACATATGTATGTACCATTTGGCAATAGCATAGAGCAGTAGTTGTTCTATATTCGAGTTTTAGATCATTTTCCATCGAACTATGAATAGAAGTGCCGTTTTGTCTGATAACTAAGTTCCTTGGCTCTATTGCTGTTTTACTTTCTAATGAAAATAGGTCCTAGCTCTTACTTGCAAGAGGTTAGAGATATGTACATGTTTTGCTAGCTCGTCAGCACTGATGTCCATGGAGCTGGTTTAGTGCCTTTCTATGTATTCTCATTGATAATCGAATCTTTAATAACAAACTGCTTGCCAGAGAAGAATGTAGCTAACGCAGGGGCGGAGGTTATGAGCAGCGGCTTACTTTACTGTTATTTGTTCTGTCTAAAAAAAATACGGTGATCAGCTCACTTCAATGATTTCGATCGCCAATTTCATCTTAAACACTAGAAGTATAATTAGTATATGAAACCAGGTCTGTGGCTTTCTGTATGAACGAACCTTAAGGCCCTGCGCAGGCCTCTTAAATAATAAAGTGAAAACTCTATTTAGAATTCTGGTAGAAAGTTCGGACGGTCATTTGATGCTGAAACATGACAAAAGAGGTTTGTTCATCTGTTATTGAAAATAGACACGAAAAAACTAGTCGATTGGGTTTATTCATCACTTGCGTAAAACTAACTGTAAATGAAATGACACATGCGTAGGGTATGTTGTAGTTATTAATTTCACGTATCTATTTTTTGTAACTTCTACGTATTCTTCGAAATGTGTTCGGCGAAGTGTAAGCTTTCGGAGAAAATTTTGTGCAAAAAGTATTTGTGGACAAGGAAACATACGTCGAAAGAGCCTTTAAGCAGATTCGGGGTGCTGAGTTTTATAATGCAACGAAGACAAAAAGGAGTCCAAGATGCCTTATCTAAGAAAATGGAACAGGATCGCTCATATACGATGAAATATCTTTGAGCTGTTCTGGATTCTAAGCTTAATTGAAGGCTGAGGAGTGCTAGAGAGCATATGGTAATTGAATTCAAGGACTACATACACATTGGAAGTACACGCCTATAGCCGCCCGGAGCACTGACTTATGAATTATATCATAACAAAGGCGTGGACCAACCATAAACCCCGCGAAAAATTTCCATGCCACATTAACTGAATTCGAGGAGGGATACATTGACTGGAGGGCTTACTATCGTGGCAGAAGAATCATAGATAGAATGCGGGGTAGAGGCAGATCGACTAAATTTGAAGCTACATATCTTATTGCCTATCTGGTAATGTGAGCATCTTCCAGGCATTTGCAATTAAGGGGATACCTCCTTAAAATTTTATATACCCACGCGAGCGCAGATGAACTTCTTCGCATTAAGATAGCCAGGCGACAATTCAGGCACTCAGGTGGATCGAAACCTGTCGATCACCGTAGAAGACCGCTGCCCTCAATTTCTGATCCATGAAATTGCCTTCTTATGAAAGGGTCGCAGGATATTTAGACATACGCGGGAATGAGACATCGGTTGAAATAGCGATGTGCAGCTTTGCACTGAAATGTGTACGTGGAATATTGGAAATGTCAATTTATAACCTCAATAATTTATTTGAGACTATAGTAGAATCTCATCTTACATGGTACTTTTATACGCTTGCATACAAATTCCCTAGTCTGAAAAGACTAAGTACTGGAATTATAGCTGTACGCTCATAGGGTTTGTCAACTAATTTTCATATCTCTTCCATTGATATTCTAAACAAATAGGTATATACACATACCTCAACCAATATACGTTTAGAATTTGCAGAGCTGAAATTTATGACAGCTAGTGCTTCAGCAAAAGTAACCAAACCATAAATTTCCACCAAAGAAATCCCGAATCGAAAATATATTTTCGCAATTAAGTACTGTAGGAATACTATGTATGTAAGTACATAAGGAAATGGAACGGAAATTGCAAAAGCCACCTAACGGAAATCTTAACTTGACGCTGACGTTGCATGTAATGTCTTACTGCCACTGATATTCCATTTGCAATGTGTACTTTAACTGCGAGTAAATACTGAATGTATTTTTTTTGTACTTTCCCAAGAATATTTATAGCAGAGCACAAAAAAAAAACATTTGATACGTGCGTGCAACACTTTGGCAAAGAAATACAAGTTGTGCATTTATTCTATAAAGTTAGTAGCTGTGTGAATTTGTGTATGTACCTTTTAATCGTTTTGTCCCAGATTTGATGCCTATTAGTTATGCCGCATGTCCACTAGGCATTGAAATTACAAAAAAAAATGCCATGTGGAAATGAAATTAATGACTATTTTCTCACAGAATGACACAATGATTTTTTAATGCACAACTTTGTCATTTGTCATTTTTGCAAATAGGAATAGTGGAAATCCAGCATTATACACATACTAGAGGCTGTTGCCTCTATGAAAATCGAAGAACTTATATGATTTTCTTTGCATTGTACATCTATCCGCTGGCTATTAATTTTCAGTCACTCTCGAATATAATTCGAACATACCATTACGACTATTATCATTTTCGGTCGTTCGACGGCCAGCAGTGTGTCGTTCACTTGGTTGACTTCGCCGACCTAGTATGTCAGCGTGTGTTTTCCCCGGCATTGCAATGAAAATTATAAAATTAGACAGAATTGATTTCACAGTCAATGCAATAGAAATAAATGACGTTAAAATGTACCTTAATTCAAATTAACCTAGTCTTTAGTTAATCTGAAATATTTTTTTTACGAAAAAACGAAACACGGTTTGAGAAATGTAATAAACTTTGCACACCTGGACGAAACAAATGACAGCTTTGTATAGCACTTCAGTTATAACATAGGCCAAAAAAGATTTCATGTATAATAACAAATCTCAAGTGATAGTTGTGTTCTGTGTAAATTAACGTTATATGGGAGGTGAGCGTGGTTACTGCCCCATTTCAAAGATTTTCTGCGCAAGGCTTGCACCAAGTTTTGTAAGTATTAGCCAAGGGGCTACTTAGATAGAGCATTTCATCATAAGTAGGCGGGGTCACGCCCACTTTCCAAAATTTCATAATAGTTTTATTTTGTACCCAAATTTTATTTCATATACTAATTTTCAATAATTTGGACGCAATATTTACTGAAATATCGCAGTTTTTGCATTTTTTCGAAAATACCGTTCTATGGAAAATGGACGTGGTTACAGTCCGATTTGGCCCATTTTCAATACCAACTCACGCATTAAATTTCGTTGAGACATCTCAATTTTTGCTAGAGTTATCGTGTACGCGGACGGACGAACGCACGGGCGGACAGACAGGCATGGCTTAATCGACTTCTCTTTTTATTCTGGTCATTTATGTATACATTTGTCTATAGCTATCTCTATTCGTTTTGGCCGAAGACAGCGCTGCACTTAAATACTTGTTACTCTTGAAGCACTTAGCTTTAAGCGGAATCATGTGGACCGTTTAACAAAAGCCATCACCTAACTAAACTCATCCAGGTTGCCAAACCAAGCACCTTAATGGCAGTCTGACTGTTAATATTCAAGCAGAGTTTTGTTTGAACAGAGTCTATCACGCTTAGCGTCCGAAAGGCTCTAAGCTAGATCTTATTGTAATTTAAGTGTATTTTCTTTTTGATCCATCTGTGGGGCATTGGCACATTTGTGTTTTTAGTTGGAATATCAAGGAGTGCCTATAACTCTGCCAACCGCTAATCGCTACCGTTATCGAACTTCGCAAAGAAATTTTCTGGCACACCCTAATGTACATAAGAACATGCTCATATTATACATACATGTACATATTTACGCACGTAACTGTGTGTTTTATTACGGCAAGGATTGCGTGCTGCACGTTCTTCGCTTGGCGCTTTAAGCTTTGTTTCCTTGTAAGTTTTTTGTGTTTTAGTGCAACCGCTGAGTTTTTGAGCGGCAACGCGAGTTTCTTATTGATTTCTGCAATTTACTTAACGTCGCGACATGGCCACTTAATTATTTACAAGCAAAATTTTGTGTACATGTACATATATACGTATAATTTTATGTATGTATGTATGTGCATACTTCTATGCAACTCATTTGATGCTTTTTTCCTTGTTTTAGTGGCGTTTTGCCGTTCAATTCACCGCTAAAAAATGCTTTTGACATGCAATCACTGGTGGGTGAAAGTACTCGTATAATAGCTTTAAATTAAACTTTGCATGGCTTGCCACAAATATTGGCATTGGTTAACAACTAAGTAAGTGCAAATGTACGACTTCGGGTGCAGAAAAGGGTTGTTGGTGGACATGTAGATATATGTACATGTATATGTAGTTAAATTCCCACTAAAACTGTTTAAAGCTCTATGCAGAACTTCAAAAGTTGCATTGGGGTTCAATGCCAGTGAAATAATTAATAGAAATGTCTTATTAAGTAAATGTTTTTAAAATAGTTAGTTGTAAATTAAAAAAAGATGATTTAAAATTAAAGAAATTTTAAAATTTGAAATCAGTTTGTCTTCATAGAAAAACTAAAGGATTATTATACTTATTGTATTTTTTTTTGACTTGCATAAAAAATTATGCCTCCTTCTATTATCTAGTTTAAGAAGAAGAAGTAAATAAATGCTTAAGAGCTTTAAGGAGCTGCTTTTTTAATTTATTATGTTTTTATAGTTAAAGGTTTTAACTACAGAAAAAATCTGGAGATTGCGTTAACCAAAATAATAGGCCATTGATTAATTAACGCCTTGGAGTCAAACAAGAATTTTTTGTGCTTCAAAGTGTGTTTTTCAACTTCGTTAAAAAAAAATTACAAAATACATATATTTTTTTTTTTATTTGTGTTTGTTGAAAAAGTACTTTGCGTTTGCTGTAAGTTTTCTTGAAGAAAGAAATGTACGAGCATTTTTTTCTTGAGAGCAGGGGTTAAATTCTTTAACGGTTAGTTTGCGTGTGCACACTGAAAATTGTGTACACTCTAGCCATGGGTAATAGCACAATTTTTATGGCGCTAGCTCAATAACGCCGACGCCACCTGTGGTGTCAGCGCAATAGCGCAGTGTACTGATTTGAACACGGCGCCATCTAAGTGTCACCACAGTACCCATCGTCATACAGTGTCATACACAATACAGTGGTGTCATGCCTATTATTTCTCTAATTTTCGGCGCTGAGCAGCGCTTGTACCGCCAACCGAATTTAGCTGCTAGGAATGTAGTAGATGCCACGATATTCGCACCATTCTTGAGTACAAGCTTTAAATTTGCCAAGATACATGAGTTTCTGGCGCTCTCACCACTCAGAATCAAAGACAAAGTACGAGTAATTTCGCAGAGAATTAAGGCAAATAGCAAGAATGATAGAATACAAGATTGCGCCGATCGGAGAGGATTTTTGAGAATAACTTGTGTGTGACGTCACACTGGTGCAATTGCGAGAGAGAAATGCCAAAACGTGGGCAAGAATGGAAGAAGAAGAAAAAATGTTGCAAGGAAAACGTAAACAAGTTGCACCGGTGTGACGTCATGCAAACAGCGATTCTGTCAAATTCGTTAAGAGAGGAATAGCGGTCCGAGATCGGCGCAACCTTTGTATTCTCTCAATCGTGGGCAAATAGTGTGTATCTCATGTGTTTCTTGCTGTTAATGGCGCTATCGCTTTTTATATATTGGAGTTGACGCGGAAACTCCGGCTACGGTGTTAATGCAATTGCGCCGCGCAGCGCATGTTATCCCAGAGCTGAAGATAGCGCTTTAAAAAACTTGTTAAAAAAAATAAATTTTAAAAAGTAGTTCCTTAAGGGGAGTTTTCTCAGGAAGCCTATAAAATTTATCTGCCCTTCAAACAAATTTTTGCGCACAAATTTTATGTTTAAAATGCAGCTACATTTTAAAAGCTTCTTGAGAAAACGGCCCAAAGCCTCTTAAGAATTTAATTAAATTTCAATAATAATAATATAAAGAAAATATAAAATCCGTAAAAAATTGTAGGCTGTAATTTTTTTAAATTATATTTTGCATTTGCGCCACTGTGCGCCATAACTCAAGGTTCACGAAAAAACACGACTGTAACACTTATTCATACATCAACATCTATATAAAAATTTGAGTACAGATTTTCTAAGTATGCGTTTGAATATTAAGTTTGCATTTTAGTTTAATTAATTATCTGCTTTGCAAATTTATGGTTGGCCAGCCAGTTTCTTGACTGCTCTCCTAATTAAGCACGCGTCAACATTCTTGTTTATGCATACATTCCGAATAACAATGAAGCACAAATTTTGAATTTGTGTGATTTGGTTTTATAAACGACTAAAAATTGTTAGTATACCTTTTATATCTTACGGCAGTTGTCTCTGCATTGAAATTGCTTTCATTTAAATTTTTTTAGTTTAAAACACTTTTGTCAAAAATATGAAATCAAATATACATACATACATACATAGATGTTTGTATACAATAGAGTTGCATAATAGGATTGAGCACAGGTTTGAAGTAATTTTGACATTTAACAGAAAACAGCAAGGTTTTGTTCTCAACCAATATAATTAAATTAAAGCGCTTATAGAAAAGATATCATATCTTAAGCAGGTATTCTGGCTAAGCATTGCTGCTTCATAACTCTTTTAATTTATATCCTGCAGGATCAAATGTACTTGAGCAGATTTCTTCGCTGGGGCGTATGAGTAACATATATGTATGTATGTATGTGGACCGCTTGATAAATCCCCTCAAAAAATATGACTAATCCAATATGACACCAGGATCAAACACAAGAAATATGCGTCTAATACCACTTTTATGATCTATTTTGCTGTTTTATTTCAATTAATTGAGAAAAAATTTAGTATTGGTACGCCCAGGGGTGGAATTTTGTTAATGCAGTTCAGTAGTAGTCCAATTACGAAGTCAAGAAAATAGTGCATACTTTAAATTTATTGCTTTCCTCACAATTTCATTTTACAGCCCGTTATTTTAAAAGAATGTTTATACGTACATACATATATACATATGTAT